GGTCCAGGCTCCGAGCTGTCAGCACAGAGCCTGATGTGGGGCTTGAACCCAGGAACCACAAGATCATAAGCTGAGCTGAAGTCAGATGCTTAATCAAGTGAATCACCCAGATGCCCTGAGAAGGGTAAAGGTTTTTGAATTCCTAAATCTGTCTGAATGTCCACACTCTCATGCCCAGGCCAAGTTGCAGAGAGACTTAGAAGTACAGAGATAAGTCACACTATTTGAACCTCAAGAAAGCATTTCTATATTTTCTAAAGAATGAAGCTATTTTCCAGAGATGATACTGTCCAAAAGGATGAGGTGTTTAAATACACACTTGTTTTTCCTTTTTTAATGTTAATTTCTCTTAAACCCATTGATGCAATAGTACCCAAGCTAAAAAAAGGTCTCCCTTAAAAGTCCAACGTTGTCAGTAAACCGAGGCATAAACCTAGCAACATTCCATGACTTCCCAGAGGTGAGCGCCTGTGATGCAGGTTTTAACGTCAACAATTATATCTGTTATTTTCATGGACTAGTTCTTGCATCACAGGAATTCTCAGGAAAGTGTTTTACTCATCATGGTATAAATATAGCACATACCATGGAGCACCACGGTCAGTACAGATTATGTACTAAATCATTATCCTCTAGAATGGTCAATTGGTCCTTCCTCTTACAGAAAGAAAATGAAAACAACAACAACAACAACAACAACAACAACAACAACAAACAAACTTGTTCTTGTATCACAATGGAATGCTATTAGTGGCACTAAAGAAAACTGAGGCAATAGATTTATTACCTTGTTTGCTCTGGGTATCTACTCTGAAAAATGCTTGCACATCTTTGCTTTAGAGTTGAAAATGTCCAACAGAGTGCCAGGCTCTTCTAAAACTGTGGAGTAGGGTTTCATTTGTCATCAATGTCACTTACCCATTTCCACACCATCTCTACCCAAACCCTCTATCCCTGCACCATGCTCTTTCTGATGCATTAGCCTTAATTCCAAAGAGTAGCCACAATTAGTGTCCTTAATGATGAAGTTTATGTTCACATCCTCTCCCTCACCACCAACTAGAGACTTCTCATAGGCCAGAAGCATTGAAGTTAAATGGGAGTCCTATCTGTCATAGCAATTTGGATGGGGAGAGAGACCAGAAGGCAGGAGTGTCCAACACTTAGCACAATGAAGAAACTTTACTGAGTATTATTTTTCAACCGTAACCAAGCTCTTTCCAATCTTTCCTCACAAAGTATCCAAAACAAAATGAGAAAGTATCCCTCAATGATTTAGTACCTTTATTTGAAGTTTCACCTTTTTAGTCTTATGTATTACTGGTTTAATTCAAAAGACAGGAAGACCACAGGAACATCCTACATGGTGACAAGATTAATGAGGGGATGCTGTTTAAACACGTGGATGTTTCTAGAGTTTCCACTGCACAAATCAGGTGCTATGAAAAACAACTTGAGTTTTGTCATCATTCAGCTCTAATTCTCTTTCCTCCCAAGGTTCTTCTTATTTGTTTGCAGTGAGGATTATATGACTCTAGATACATTTATGGAGCTTAGAACATGTAGCATACTAGATATTCTAAAAAGTAATTCTGCTTCATTAATACCAACAAACATACCTTTACTATGTCACTGAGCTTGGGGAACAAAGAAGAATCCTAAGTTTTGGGGGGATGGGAGGACACAACCAAGTTGGTGAGCTATAAACCAACATTTGGGTTGTATCATGGGAAAATACCTGCACCATCCCGGAGAAGAACAGAAATCTAAGCTTTGAGCCTTTGCCATGTGAAGACATTGAACCTGAGACTCTCACATGAAGCTTTAGTGACAAGTAGACTAGAAAAGAATATCACCTCACAGCAAAGGGAATACACATAAAACCTTCCCATTTCTACTGTGGCTCTCAATTGAAAAATAAGCAACAAAAGTAACAGTAGCATGACCTACTATGATATTAACAGGAGCAGCATTTCTGCTGATTCTTCAGTCACAGGCTTGCTCCCATTCAGGCCTGCAGCTCAAATTTATAGTCACTCTCTTTTTGGAAAAAAAAAAAAAGTGAGAACTTGAAATAATCCTAAATTGGTAGCACCTTCTGGCACCTGGCAGAAGAAAGTACAAATCTTGCCTGGACGAAAGCTTCCCAATTTTTGATCAAGGTTCCAACGCATTAATTTCAACAAAATATGCATGCACGTGCACACACACATGAGAGAACAGGAATCATATGAAAAAAATAGGAAAACAATTACAGATTTAGACCCCTACATACTTCAGATATTGCCAGAGGCAAAAAATATATATGTGTGTGTGTGTGTGTGTGTGTGTGTGTGTGTGTGTGTATTGGCTATTGAACAGAGCTATGTTCAATAGTTATTAATATAATAATTAAAGACATAAAAATATAGGAACAAAAAAAAGAGTGAGAACAACAAACTAAATAAACAGATATGTTTGAAAAAGAACAAAACATTATTTTTTGAAATAAAGACATAATTTATGAAAATGTTTCATTGAATGGGTTTAATGAGATATTAGGGAGAGATGAAGAAAGAATTAGTGAATTTAAAGATAAAATTGAATACACTGCCCAGAATTCAAGATAGACAAAAAATAATACTTATTACAAAAGTATAGTAAGAAACATGAAGATAGAAAATCAAAGACTTATCTAGTGCAGGTCTAAAATAATTGAAGAGAGAGAATAAGAATGAAGCCCAATTTCACATGCTGAGAATTTCCAAGAACTAACCCATAGATATATGGGTAAATAGGACATATGAACCAGATACACAGATAACATGAGAACCTAACAGATACAAACAGGAAACAAACACATCGAATGAGATACTTAACAATAATAAATCTACACCCAGATGCAAGGTAATCAAACTACAAAACACCAAAATAAAAGAGATCATCTTAAAAGTAGCTTGTGGGTGTTGGGGCTCAGGGTGGTCAGAGCACTTTCAAAGGTGGGACAGACTGACAGCCACCTTTTCAACAGTAACAGTAAAAGACAGAAGACTGCAGGGATGTGCTGGTAAGGGTTTAAAACTTGCTCCCCAGCAGCAGAGAAGCCCTGTAGCATTTCTGATTTCCATGAACAGCCTGAGGTTAGCCAATTTCAGCCTGAACTGTAACATCACTGAATGCACAATTGGGCACAAGATGTATCTAACAAGCTCTTAGGAGCTTGTGTGAGCTGGCTCCATCACATACCTAAATAATTCTTTCAATAACAGAGGGGAAATGCCCTTCATTATTGACTTGTATGTCTAGCAAAATTATCTTCCCAGAAAAAAAGGTGAAATAAAGTCCTTTATCAGATGAGGGGACACTTCTACAACATAAATTCATAAGGATGTACTTCAGAAGGAAGGAAATCAAACCTGTTAATACGTAGAAAGTTGGAGGAGTGAGTAACAAGTCAAATAGTGACTGCCTCGGTAAATCAAAAAAGTATCTACATAAAATAATTATTATTACAGGAGGTAGGATGGAAATGAGAAAACAAAAACCAACAAAATTCAATCTAGAAGTCGGTCAGTGTTGACCGCCTCCTTTGACTGCCATTTTGCAGACTAAAATTGACATTTCTCAGACCCAACTGCATTTGGGTTTCTGGACACATATTATGCTCTGGAAATCAAATAAGTTTATGGATTTGGAAGGCTGCAGTGAGAAAGGCGTCATTTTTATGCTTTTTCAGCTGTTTCTATTGGCAAGCAAACTCATGGTTACATGCCGTGTCTTCTACCATCACTTTTCAGAGATCTTTTCCTGCCTCCTGGGGAGGACTACTCCAGGACTGGGGCCTCAGTGGCCTCTGGACTCTAGCATCTCATCAGTGATGGCCTCAGAGTTAGCAGCTTCCCATAAATCCACTTGGGACGACTGATGAGTCATTCCAAAAGACTGCAACAAGAATCTACCAACAATGGAAGGGGTGCCACCATTATGCAAGTAACTCATTTCTGGCGTTAAATGCATTCCTGTTTGAAATGCCTTAAAAGTTGAATGAACAGAAAATAAGGAAGCAGAAACAAATCCAACCATACGAAAATGTAGAGAAGCTTACATTTGCCAATTTATAACACAAAGCTGGCCAGTTTGGATAAAGTACAAAATTCAGCCTTGTGTTCTGCACAAGATCATACAGAGGCTTAAAGTAAAAGGAAAATTAAGAGTATGCTTATCGTGATGAGCACGGAGAAAGGTACAGAATTGCTGAATGTACACCTGTAAGGGACATAATACTATATGTTCACCATACTTGAGTTTAATAAAAAAAGGAAAAAGGAAAAAAAAAAGAAAGAAAAATTGAAAGGAAATACACGAGAAGGGACAGGCCATGCAAATACTAACTAAAAGAAAAGTGAATCCACTATATTAATAATAGACAAAGTAGATTTAAGCATAGAGATACTTAATGTTAAAAAGACCACTTCAGTATGAAAAAAAATGTTCATCAAGTTATAAAAATTCCAATCTTACATGCACCTCATAAAGACACTCAAGGCATAGAAGATGAAATTTCACAGAATTTCCGGTAGAAAACAAAAGAAAATCCACCATTATGAGAGGAGATTTCAATCCTCTTTCAGTTGGTGGTGAATTAATAAAGGGACTGAGCATCTGAGCAATCCACTAATTGGGTAGGTCAAATCCTTAATTTTGGTAAGTAAACATTAAGAAAATATAAGTAAAAAACAAACATTGAGAATTAATTAATTAGAACATAAGTAAACATTATCTTACTTAATTTCTATGTTACTTTGCCTTACCCAGGATTCCATAAAGTAGGTATAAATGCCAGCTCCCAACCCTGCCACATATGCCTGAGCAACTCCCCTACCAGAAATCTCGGTTCTAGATCTTACCTATGGTGAGCCAGAGGCTCCAGATTTGAATCACTAACCTGCCTGATGGAAATTATTTGTTTCTTCATTTATTTCAACGAAGCCCATCGGAAGAGAAAGGATGAGAAAACAAACCTGTGACTTTGCCCAAGGTGAGTGACCGTATGGCCCTGAATTCGACTTCTGGGGAAAAGTTGTAACTGAGTCGCAGGTGCTGATCTACCTGCAGGAAAACAGAAGACAAACGTGCATCAGCAGAGGTTTGCACAGAAAGGGCAGAACGCCCTCCCATCTGCAAAAAGTTTGGAAACACACACTGAGCAGACCCCTCTTTGGGATTTTTGTCTCTGGAGAGATGAGAAACGTCTCGCTAATTCTCCCACAATGCACGTAAAATACTTTTTTCTTCCCTCTTGGCTAAATAAAGGCCTTCACACAAGTCTTCTCCCTGGGAAATTCTGTACAGCTTTTGACAGGTATTTATCTTCCCACTGAAATTTTCTCACCAAGTTCTTTGTTGCAAACAAGGAAACAAATGAAGCCTTCTTGGGAACGTGCTGTGCACGTCTGCCATTACACAGAAAGCCCACACTCATTCCCGAACTCCCCCTTTCTCCTCATTTGGTCTTTAGGGCCACCACTGCTCCCTTTGCTACAATAATTCTGACTTGGCCTCACTCAGGTGTGGACTGTGGGATTTTGCCCAGCAAATCTTTCAGGGTGACAGAAAGTTAGACCATGGGGAGGAGAGACTCACTGAACGGTCACCACCAACAGGAAGACCTCATAACCCCGCTTCATAGGGGTGAACAAAAGCCACCACTGGGATTTCCAGGACTTGTTTTGCACCATAATCCTTTCGGGGACTCTCCTTGTCTAATCCAGTTCCATCTCCTTCCCTGCCCCTCATTCTGAGGCAATGTTACCCATCCATTCTTACATTCTCAGCCTTTCTGGTCTAGTTTTCCCAGGATCTACGCTGCACATTCACATGATGCTGTGCCTACAAAGGATCCTTTTTATCTTACAGTTTCATGTGGAAGGAAAAGGAGACTAAGACCCCTGCAAGCTGTGTGCCCAGCCCCGCTCTTCCCTTGGGGAGCAGCTGACCCAGGGGTGGTACTCGATTCTCCCAGATCCCATGGCCACGACTATCCCTCCGCAAATGAACCCTCCTCCAGGAACCTCTAGGTCCTGCGGTGGTTTCCACTGTGAGAGAAGTCACCGGCTGTGACTGTGGCTCATGGTTACATGCGTTATTACTATTTCATTTGTGAAATTAGACTGGAATCATATTTGCTATTTATTGAACTCTTGGTATGTATGAGACATCATATTGAAGCAGCTTTCAAAATACATGCCTCCCTAGAATACCGTGAGATAGGCATTATTACCCCTGTTATACAGACTGAGGAGATGATGTCCTAGAGATCCATAACTTGGGCATGGCCAGACAGTGTCACAAAGCAGTGTCCCACTGTCATGTGGCCCACCTGTCACTCTCTATGGGGTTTGCTTTCCTTGTCCATCCCTCTCTAGATAGGGATTGTAGACAATCACTGTTTAATTTCTGGCTTTCTACAAAACTCATTCAACAAATGTTTGAATATCTACTGTATGCCAAACACTGTTCTAAGTGCTCCCAGAGGCTACCTCCTCCAGGAAGCTTTCCTTGATGCCTTGGCTAGATCGGTTGACACTCTTTTCTGTCCTCATGGTGTCTTTTTTTTTCTGCCTCTAACTTTGCATTTAAAGTGCTGCATTATATTGGGGCGCCTGGGTGGCTCAGTCGGTTAAGCGTCCGACTTCGGCTCAGGTCATGATTTCACGGCTGGTGAGTTCGAGCCCCACAATGGGCTCTGTGCTGACAGCGCAGAGCCTGGAGCCTGCTTCGGATGCTGTGTCTCCCTGTCTCTCTGCCCCACCCCTGCTTGCACTCTATCTCTGTCTCTCAAAAATGAATAAACATTAAAAAAAATTAAGTGCTGCATTATAATGATCTGCTTCTCTCTCCCTCCCTGTCTCCATAAACTGTTGCCTCTTTGAGAATTCATATATCTTACTGATATATGTTTTCTGTAGGACCTACTAGAGAAACTGGCAAAGTATCTCCTAACACAGGTTTGCTGAGTGAATGAATAAACATCCTGTATTGATCCCTTTTCTATCTTGAAGCTATGAGGGCAGTGTCGGTCACAGCACCAGGATGTCTCTCACTGCCTGGAAGCTCCTTCACCTTTAGGTACAACATAGGGTTTTAGTCCTCACGGTCCCCATCCGTAGTCTGATTAATACCCATAGGTTCAGATTCAGTCCTTGTCTCTAGGAACGTTTTCTTCCTGCCCCACTTCAGAGCTCTCCCCTGCCTCTTCCACTGGCTAAAACTGCCCCCTCCAGCAGGTGCAGGGGGCCTCCCCTCATGTGCTCTTGTCCAGGTTGGAGAGGAGGTTAAAGTGGGTGGAATTTCCAGCTGAGTGGAGAAGGGTGGAAAGATTCGTAGCACTGAAGGTGGAGCTGAGATTGCCCTTGCTTCTGCCCCTCACCTCCTCCCCGGGCTCCCCAGGGTCAGCTTCCCATGCAAGTTGTCCCTAAACCTTGACAGGCCCATGCCCAGATGTCACACATGGGAGAGCTCACTGGTCAAGTATGTGAGTCCTCCCTATCCTGCTGTTCTGTTTTGGGCAACTTACTTGGTGGTTAGCACTTAAACCAGGTGACTAATGAAGGAGAGGCGGTGAATGACAATCAAAGGGGTTTTTCGGAAAAGATGAGTATTTGTAAAGGTTCAGAGAGGAAGGAAGATGGCTCACAGGATACCTGGGGCTCCTGGTGGACTATGGAGAGCTGGGGATGGGCTCCAGCCCTGACATGGGATGTGGGCACCTGAGCAGTAGTACTGGTTCAGCTGCTGGGTCACCGATTGGAAAAACAGCCAACTCATAGGACAGAAGCACACACGTAAAAAAGAGGGGTGCCCCACAGATACTTATTTTAGGGCCTCAGCAGTTATAATATGGGCTATTGGAATCATTGAGGGATTCAGTGGGAAATGCATTATTTCATCAGGCTTCCTTTTGTGCATTTTACGGTTTAGCATTGTGTTTGTGTTTCATTATAATTGGTGAGGTCCTAAGGGGTGAAGCATTGTAGTCCTTTAAAACAGCGGGATGTCTTAAGTTTGTCATCTGGACTACAGAGCCTTGTTGATCTCAGAATTGAGGATACCCAGTGGTCTTGTCAAGTTTTAAGTGAGATGGAAAAAGATGAAAATGGAGCCAACCTTTTCTGAGTACGTCTTACATGCCAGGCTTCATGCTTGGTCTTTCAGCTATGTACTTTCATCTAATCTTTATGAAAACTGAGCTTGGTTGCATTTGAACCCCACCCCCGCCTGTTTTTATTTTTCTTTTTTAGTACACAGCAGTAGACTGAAGCTCAGAAAGGTGAGTTATAGTCTAAGATCACATAATGCACGTGGTGGAACAGGAATTCACACTCAAGTTTGTCTCCCCGTAGCGACGCCTTGACCTTGAGATTTTCATCTCTCTAAGGAAGGAACTAACTACTGGGTTTCAAAAGCGCCTGGCACCTCCTTCTTTACAGCTTGTTGAGCTGGCATTTTGGTAAGCTGGCTTAATCCGTTTAATGTCATGGATGCATTTTAAATAAGAACACTGAAGTTCACCTCCACTGCCAGGACATGCTGGTGGGCACCTATACCTTAAAAAAACACTAGCCAAATTATAATTCTCAAATCATCACCAGGAACACTTGCTCCTAATTTCAGGCCCAGCCCCCATGACCTCCTTCTTGGCATCACAAAGAAAGAGAAGAGGAGGAATAGCCACTCAGGGCCTGGGAGGGCATGGAAGAATCTGTTTTTAGGTACAGGATGCCTCTGCTTGGTGGAGTATGGTGATGCCCGCCTGCCCTCTCTCTCAAACAGGTTCTGAGTAAGGCCTACACCCTGCTCCACATGGCCTAAGGGCAGGACTGGTGATGAGTAGGAGCCTACCTTTTTCTGTTTTCACTGAAGAGTTCCATGCAGGGAGGAAGAAGAGATCTGGCTAGGGCAAGAGGGGTGGGGGTGACCGAGAGGCAGGTGTGTTGTGTTCCTGCATCAATAAACTGAGTCCAAGTTCAAAAAAAGTCTAGCTCTAGTTTTTTCTGCTTCCTCAGTGTCTTGGGAACCATATGTTATCAACCAACACATGCTTATTGTTGATTGTTAAACTGATTGGTAGAGATCCTCCTGATGGAGAAGAGAAGGAAATACCTTCTATTGTCCTCCCACTGACCTGTCTGCATCTTTCATTTGTGGAAAGAAATACAGGAAATATAAAAAAGAAAGGAAAAAGGAATCATATATACACATGCCCACCAGAATGTGCCCGTATGTTCCATCAGGACCCCAGTCAAGATATTCACACAAGAAATCTTTATTCCCATCCATTTGATCCTCCAATCTTGCCTCAGCCCGAACTTTCTCCAAAGATGTATCCCCCTATTTCAAGAATAAATTCTAAAGGTAAACTCATTAAATTATAATCACTCAAGGACTGTTTTCATACCATATATTTGACAATTATTCCTGAACTTCTACTCAATCAAGCAAACTAATAGTCAAACTTGACTTCTCCCATAGCCCACACCCAAAAGGGCACACAATGCTACTGATGTTATTTTTCACATCTTTATCTCTGTGGTTCTGCCCACTGCACTAATTGAGGCCCTCATAATCTCTTTCTGGCTGGTCTCTATCTCATAATCAAATGTATATTTCCATGCAGTGACCACAGTGAACCCCCTGAAAATGAAAATCTAACCATGCTACATTCCATGACTAAAATCCTATGGGAAACCTTCTTCACAGGGTCAATTTGATCTCCCCCCACATAGTACATTAAACCCTGTGGAATTCATTCATTTCATTTATAAATATTTATTGAGCACCTGCTTGACAAAGTGGGAGTTCTATGGTAATGAAAAGAGAGAAAAATCCCTGTCCTCTAGGGGAGAGAGAGAGGACAAAAAATTAGATAAATAAATCATACTGAATGTTAGATAGTGTTCAAGCACTGCAGGATAGAAGTCAAGGGGCTAGGTTGTCCATATTAAATAAGGTGATCAAAAATGGCATCATTAAGAATAGTTTTGGGGCGCCTGGGTGGTGCAGTCGGTTAAGCGTCTGACTTCAGCCAGGTCACGATCTCGCGGTCCGTGAGTTCGAGCCCCGCACCAGGCTCTGGGCTGATGGCTCAGAGCCTGGAGCCTGTTTCTGATTCTGTGTCTCCCTCTCTCTCTGCTCCTCCCCCGTTCATGCTCTGTCTCTCTCTGTCCCAAAAATAAATAAACGTTGAAAAAAAATTAAAAAAAAAAGAAAAAAAAAAGAATAGTTTTTAAAAAAATTTTTAATGTTTATTTATTTTTGACAGAGACAGAGACAGAGCATGAGCAGGGGAGGGGCAGAGAAAGAGGGAGACACAGAATCCAAAGCAGGCTCCATCCAAGCTCTGAGCTGTCAGCACAGAGTCTGACGTGGGGCTTGAACTCACGAATTGCAAGATCATGACCTGAGCCGAAGTCAGATGTTCAACTGACTGAGCCACCCAGGCGCCTAAGACTAAAGTTTTAATACAAACTCTCTGGCCACTGTGTTGAGAAAAGCTTGCAGGGGAACAAAAAGTGAAGCAAGGGCCTATCTGTCAATTAAGATGCAACTGTAAACTCTAATAATCCAAGGAAGAGATGAGAGTGGCTGGGGCAGGGTAGACGCTGTTGATCAACATGATGTGGCATGTGAGAGAAGAGATATCTGAGATGACACCATAATGTTTAGACTGGGAAACTGCAAGCATGGAGCTGCCACAGACTGAGATGGGGAAGATTATGGGGGTGGTGAGTGTTTGGGGTAAGATTCCCAGAAACTTAGTGTGAAATATGTAATGTTCAAGATGCACAATAGACACTCAAATAGATAGCCAAGCAGGCAGTGCTAGATCTGGAATTCAGGGAAAGGTTTAGAGCTAGATACACCTTTGGAATTAATTCATCAGCATCCCAGCGCATTTGAATGAAATTAGACATGAAATGGGCGTAGACAGAAAAAAAGAGGAGTATGAAAATGAGTCCTGTGATGTTCCAGTTTGAATGATGATGGGAGGGCAAACAAAGAGAAAAGAAGGAGGAACCAGCAGATGCAGTAGAAACAGCAGGTGAAAGCTGTGTCCTACAAGCCAAATAAGAATGCGTGTCAAGATCAGAGGCAATTGCCATGTCAAATGCCAATGAGAAGCCAAGTCAGGAAAAGATCGCTGGATTCTGTACGACCATTGGTGTCTTGAGAAGTATAATTTGACTCCAGCACAGGGAAAAATCCTTCTGTGATGTAGGTTTAAGAAAAAGGAAGGGAAACTCAGAAGACCAAGGAGGTAGACATTTCCAAGGACATGGGCAATAGACTGAAAGAGGAAACGGAGCAGTATATGAAGTCAGAGAAGACAGAGGTTTCCTCCCTCGACCTCGAGAGCGTTTTTTCTTATCATGTTGTATGCAAATTATTATTTTATTTATTATTGTAATTATGTTCTTAATGCAAGCAATCTTTGCATGTTTATGTTTTGGGGAGCCATCCAACAGAACGGGGAAATGTTGACAAGGGCGGGGAAGATATGAAGGCTGGAGTGATGTTCTTGAGTGGGGTCTGACACCTGGCCCACAGGTGGTGGGTCTGGCATGAGCTAGAATCATTGCTTGCTCATATTCACCCACATGAGGGAGATAGAGTGCCTGGACACCTATGCAGGAGGTGGGTAAATAGGGTGGAGAGAGTGTACGGGGGTATTCTCTTCTGGATGCTACATTTCTCACAAGAAAGAAGAAAAGAAAGTCATCTTGCACAAGGGAAGATGGGGTTGTAACTGTTGGGGTATAAGGAGACAGAAGGAGGTTTTAAAATTGTCATCTAGGAGATCAAGAGAGTGATGGACTAAAACAATAAAGGGGGATTGCTGGGCAGATGGAAAGGCTCACCTGAGGACACGATTCTGAACAGGATGATCTGGACTCTGCATGTTCTCTGTTGTGATGTTCCCTCCCCTTCTTGCTGCCCTTTATAATGAGACCCCAGGAATTCCAGAGTGCCTGCCACATGCTGTGCTCTTCTGGACGTCTCTGCCGATGCTCACGTGGACCACCACATGACCACCTCCTTCTCTCTTCTCCACTTAGGCAACTCCTCCTTGCCTTCTAAACTAACTAGAGTTAGGAGTAACTTTCTCTAAGAAACAGGTACTTCTATCCAGAAGAGATCAGTGTTCTCTTCCATGCTCCCAAAGCACCTGTACACACTTCTATCCCAGCTCTTGTCAGTCTCTTGTGATTCCTCTTCAGCTGTGCATCTTCCTCTTATACTCAAGTTCAGGGTTATCAAACCTGATTAGGCTTCAGAATCACCTGCTACCTCCCCTGCAAAAACATTTCTGATTAAGTAGATCTGATGTAATGCCCAAGAATTTGCATTTGTAGCAAGAACTCAGGTGATGTGGATGCTGGTAGGAGGGGGGGAGCTCACCGTAGTTCACTTTTGTCTAGTTTGTCCAAGGCTGAGCCAAGTGTGGTTGATATCTATCCCCAGGACTTGGCTTCACACTTAGCTCAGGGTAGAAGCACAGAATATTTTATTGAACAGCCAAAACATATTTGGCTGAATGAGAAGAGAAGTAAGGTACCTGAATGGTAAGCTCTCTTCCCTCCCGGTTAATCTTCAAATGGTGCAACCTTCGGTTGGCAAAATTCTCTGCATCCATATTGAAAACATGGGTCTCTTCCTTGCTTAGCTGATAGCGAACCTGTAAGCTTCCTTGAAAAAAAATTAGAAATTATAATTAAAAATAGGACCCATAAAATGAAAAAATATGATCAGATTGTCTTTTAGTTGATCATTACTGTTTTCTAGGGACCTATGTCTCAATCTTTTCATTATTCAAATTTTTAAAAGGCATTACATATGCTATTACTATAACATCTGGGTCCACATGGAAAATCCAGAGTATAGGTGCAAAATTTGTGTGCATTTGTGTGTGTGTGTGTGTGCGTGTGTGTGTGTGTATAGAAACCACAATGCCAGGTTGGAAAATAAAACAGTCACAAGTCTATTCTGTAATTGGGCTGTGAAAACTTTAATAGCAGGGATTCATTTTCTATTCTCTCTTCAACTCCTACTACTTCCTATAATTCCTTTTCTTCATAATTGCCTTCATGAAATTTCAGAATACATGATATGAAATCATACTGTAAAATAATCTAAGCCAGAATAGAAGAAAAAGTTTGGCCTATGAAAGCATTACCCAACAGAGTCCACCAATATCACAAAGTCTACAAGCTAATGCTGGATTTCTTGGTTTGCTCTCTCCTTTTAGCTCTGACCATTGGATATTTCCAAATATTACTGTTCAACTATTACTGTTTACTTTTTTATCCCTTAAACATGAATAATAGTTCTCTAACAGTAGCATATTTGGTGCTGAGAGGAGTTGAGCAGGAGTGGTAGTGCAGTGTAGACACAGGGCCACAGCCAGGCTCCGGTAGGGAAGTGCCCACCTTGTGCACCTGCGGGCTGTTGGGTGGCATGTCCTTCCAGACTCCTGGTGTTTTCATCTTGAATTCAACCCCATAAACTAAATCAGCATGTGACAGATAATTCTGTGTCAGGTATGATGGTGAATACCACATTCCTTGAGGGCATTTGGACTCTTACCATCCCACTGTCTGGGTAATACATACGCATGTACAGATTCTGCATACATATTCTGGATGCATTTGTCCATTTTAAACATAGCTTCTATTTTATACATCTTTTCCAACACCTGCCTCACAACCATCCACCTTAGATGTCAATAATCTCATAGTGACTCTGTCTATCAAAGTATTCTGAAGCTTCCCCAACATTCCAGTTTATATCTAAAATACCTCAACAAGTTCTTCCAGAGCCATGCAAATATTCATCTCATCCTCTTAGGAGTTTTGATGGAATCAATGCCTTCTTCTGCTCCTATAGGCCCTGTGTTCATCTCTATTCTAACAGGTACTGAGTTGTATTATCTATCTCTTACCTGTCTCTCTTACAAATCTATAAACCCCTTGATGATCTGCACATATCTTACTTTCCCAGTGCCTGGCATATGGTAAATAATCAGTAAATTTTGAAAGAAGGAAAGAAGGAAGGAAGAAAGGAAGGAACGAACGAACGAACGAAGGAACGAAGGGAGGGAGGGAGGAAGGTCAAAAAATTCAGTGGGATCTTGAAACTTTTTACATCTAAAGGAATCACTTCCCTGAAATAGTACAAATTTAGGTTGTACTTATTCTCAGTAGGTCCAGAGACCAAAGCATTTTTCTTAGAAATTGTTTTGCCTTGGTATTTCTTGACTTGGAGTTGGGAGAACATCTGGAGAATAGAAGAGTTGCATGCCTAAGGAATTAGATAATTCCTGAAGGCCTCCTCTAGAATGTAGTAATGTCTGCACTAGTTTATCCTTCTGCATCAGAGTCTCTGATGTTTTAGGGAATTCATTCAGGTTTGAATTCCCACCATCTGTCTTGAACCTTCTGTCTCTTGTTAGTATTTAGGGTTCTATTTCTTTCCCACACATCTGGATTTGCTTTATATGCCTAGTCCAGTCGTTTTCAAATTGGTTTCAAATTAGAACACTGCATTCAAATGATAGTGAACGCTAGTATAGAAAACAAAAAAATACGGAGCTTCTTGAGCTGAAGTAGGAATGGGAAGCTGTCTCTAGGCTGCTGCTGCCACTGTCCTCTCCCACTCCACCCACCTTCAACCCACAACCTCATGTTGGCCAGCAGAACTCTTTGGTTTTCCAGGAGTGTAGTGGAAAGCCTCTACAAAGTAACAACTCGGCGTACCAGGATTTGGTCACATCTATTCTGGACAGCTTTGTATCAGTCCTCTGCATCCCATAAGACACAGCCCATAGAACACTCTTTCTCTGCAGTCCTGACCATTGGGATCCCACACTTCAAATACCCATAGACCCATAGGTTTGATAAGCTTACTGTTGGATTTGTATAGACATTAAGTTGACCAATGCCAGATGCTCTGTACATATCTATGTGGATGTAATTGGCTGAGGAGAGAGAAGCCATGCTCTCCTTGGGAGATGTTGGACCTATTTTCTTACTTTCCTTTTTATTTTTTATTTGAGACAGAGAGAGAGAGAGGCAGAGGGAGAGAGAAAATCTTAAGCAGGCTCCATGCTCAGTGTGGAGTCCAATGCAGGGTTCAATGCCACCGTCCTGGGACCACGACCTGGGCTGAAATCAAGAGTTGGATGCTCAAACAACTGAGCTACCCAGGTGCCCCCTCTTTCTTTTTTATTGAACGACATACATTTTATTCTCTCTCGACAATAGTTCTGGAGCCTAGAAGTTAAAAATATTTCTTCAAAGGCTCGAGGCTAGGATACTCCCATGCGTCTTCTTAGTTTCTGTGAATCCTGGCAATCCTTGGCTTGTAGATGCGTCACTCTGATGTCCTTTATCTTCACATGACCTTCTCCCTGTGTCTCTCTGTTGGGCCTATTTTCAAAGCTGCCCTAATACTCAACAAAGGATACCATATACCATTTAGCAAGACATTTTATTATTCATATCCTGCTTGACAATTTCCTTCTCATAAAAATAGAATAAATATGAAGTGGAAACTCAAACCTGTAAAATCCAAAAAAAATTCTAGTTGAATGCCTTGAGCCAAGCCTTTGGGTTATGATGCTTGCATCTCAGTTATTCAAAAACATTATTTCTTTTTCTTTTATTTTACTGGTTTCCACTTTCCCATTCTTCCTTCTCTGTCTTCCACACAGCCATGAGTGGGAATAGTGCATATTTTGCTATGTGACTCTAGAACTAAAAAAAAAAAAAAAAAAAATTCCAAGCCAAATAAACTAAGGGTTGTCAGAGGGAGGTGGGTGGGGGGTGGGCTAAATAGATGATGAGTATTAAGGAGGGCACCTGTTATGATGAGCGCTGGGTGTTATATGGAAGTGATGAATAATTAAAAAAAAATCCAAGCCTCCTTAATTCTATATGATGTATTTCAGCTTCTTGGCCTGACATACAAAGCCTTTTATTTTTACCTTCCAACTTTATCACCTATATATTACCCACATCTGAATCATACCTGAACACTCAGCATCTCCCCAAATAATGCTCCTTCTTACCTCTGTGTGTTTTTCTTTTCCTGTAGTTGGAATCATACCCCTAACTCCTTATCTGCCTGGTAAGCTCCTCCTAATTCATCAAAACCCATCTCAGGTGACCCAGGTCTCTACTCACTCCTAAGACTGATAAAATATTTTACTATATTGCCACTGTGCTCACTTTTAATAAAACAAACGAACAAACAAACAAACTCAATTTATCATGATTATTTTGCCTTTCTCCTTGAATTTATTAAGGTCCTGTAGGAGAGATAGTTGCTTGTTCATCCCTGTGTCTACAAAGTATAAAGCAGGGTTTGCTGTCTTAAGTCTCCAGAAAGCATTTGTTGAACAAAGTACTCTGGAGAATTTTATTACCACTCCAACAAAATTATAAACTAATAATTTTTCAATGCCTACTGTGTGTCAGAATTTAAATAAACAACAGTTACAATGCTACAGTTCTATCATTAAGAAGTTTTTGATCCAGTTTAAAGCAAAAACAAGATCATGCTGGCTTGCTCTTAAGCACCTCTATGTTTTAGACATTTAACCTGGTAGTAACGATATTGATATTTTTAAATCAAATCCTCAGATTAGGAAATAGATTTTCAGGGAGGTAAACAGCTACATAAATTAATAATAATAATAATAATAATAATAATAATAAGGAGAAGGAGAAGGAGAAGAAGATTCAAATTCAGGAGTATAGAACTTTAAAGTATATGTTCCTTCCACTATACCACCCTGACTCCAAAGGCATGTGATCGGGTAGATGGATGAGTGGATGGACAGAAAGTGGATGGTGACACAAAGGGAAAAGTGAATGATATGGCAGACAATTCAGAATGCGTATTTTGTGAGTTCAAAACGATGAACGGTTAAAAGAGTTGAGGTAGTAAGAAAGCTTTTCAGAGAAAGAGGCTTGTTGACGGAAGGTAGAAATTAGCTAGGGAAAAAAAAAAAGGTGATATGCTCAGGCATGCACATGCTCAGGCATTTCTACAATTTCAGTTGTAGAAATTAAGCAGAGCACTGTGGCTAAATTTTACCATGCTTGGAACAGTAAAGCTGTAGACCATCATCGCTGATGAAAATCTTAGCAGATCTGCACCCAACCAAGCTTTCTCATTCTGAAAGATGGAAAAACTAATATCCTGTACCTTGAGTGGGAACTTGGAACAGAGCAGTAAAGAGACAGTCCAGGCAAAGAACCTGGACTTGTTCTTCTAAAAAGGGGTCCCATAAAGGGCTTTAGACACATATGTGACTGGGCTGATGTACAAAAAGTGGTATCTTCAACATCAAAAGAGAAACCCATGAAGGCACTGGACCCCTGCAGTGGAGTTCATTCTTATATTTCTGTCCACAGAGCATTGTCAGTTTCTTGATTTATAATTTCACTTTGAAAGCAGGAGCTCTTTTACATGTTGAATCTTTTCCATTCTCTATCAATCCCTATCAATCCCGAATTATGTGGCTTCCTCTGCACCCTTTAGTCTCTACTAACCAGACCATTCTCACCAATTAGCTTCTCTTCCGTTTTCACTGCCCCACTCAGTGGCACCACCCACCCACTGGGGGCTCACTTCAAAGCTTTAGGAGTCATCTTTGTTTTGTTGGGTTCCTTCACCAGCACCCC